ATTATTACTATAATGCTACGCACACACAGACACTACTACTACTACTATTGACAGCTGCCAGAAATGGCCACGCCGCTCCCCAAAGGGAGGTACTGTCAGAGAGGTTAGGGGAGAGGTAGGCAGTGCTTCAAATGGCGCTCCAGCTCCTGTCGCCTCCGAAACTGGCGTTGACTACAGACTCGCAGACACACACACACACACACACACACACACACACACACACAAACGCACGCACACACACACACACACGCACACACACACACGCACATGAACACACAAACACACACACACACACACACACAAACACGCACACACGTGCGCACACACACACACGCACACGTGCACACACACACACACGTGCACACACACACACACACGTGCACACACACACACACACACACACACACACACACACACCTGACATTGAATACATTTGCTAAGCAAGAGTATACCATTTATTTTGTGGAAGAAAACGTTCTGGAACCAAACCTTTGCTACTTTGTTTTGTTACACGAGTGTGCATATCTTGTTATTCATTGCTGTTGTGTTCATTGCTGTTCATACATTTTCTATGTGTTAATACAGTTAACACGTGGGTGGATTGTGGCAATGAAGGTGAAGTGTTTGTTACAAGTACCCCCAACACCTGGGATGACGGTGAAAGGTTCTGCCAGACACTCGGCAGCCACCTGGTCAGTTCTCCTCAAGTTACAGCCTGCAAAGCTATGCTAGTGGGAATACTTGGAGAGGACGAAGTCCATATCAGCTACACAAGATTGCTCGATAAACTTCACTTCCGCAATGTTGGGAACAACTTGAAAGTTTCTGACAACACCGTTTCTATCAATCTACGCGTGGATGATTGTTCCAGTCAATATCTTGGGGATGATTCACAGCCACAGGACGCGCATTGCAGTTCATCGCGTCCTATCGTTTGCGGAAGGAATACCAGTAAGATACTAACAATTGGAGTTGTGAGAAAGATACTAATACCGTATGTCCGCACCTTTTTAAAAATCCATGGACTTATATTCGATTATAAAACTAGTCTCAGTTATGAAGCCATGGACTTATATTCGATTATAAAACCAGTCTCAGTTATAAAGCCATGGACTTATATTCGATTATAAAACCAGTCTCAGTTATAAATCCATGGACTTATATTCGATTATAAAACCAGTCTCAGTTATAAAGCCATGGACTTATATTCGATTATAAAACCAGTCTCAGTTATAAAGCCATGGACTTCATACATGAAATGACGTATGTTTTGAATAAATGTAGGAATAAGTACTATGCTAACAAACTTCCAGCCCAGGAGGAAGGGTGAACAGGTGGATTTAGATTGAAATTTCTGTGTGGACTTTGACTTTCATGGCATGGCGTAGTGGGTGAGTCATTTTGCATCTGAAATATCTAGGAAAGCAGTGGTGTTTCGAATATAAGGCCATGGCTTTAAAGGCGCTGACATACGGTAATAATTATAATGATGATTTTTAAGTTACAAAGGTCAAAAAGAATGGCTCCACCAATTATATATACATACGTTGTAACGCTGCCTTTCATACACGTGCACACGTAGCTAAATGCTAAGGCAATCATCAGACAACTAATGCTTTTGTCGCGGGATAGCTTGTTCTTATTGTTGGGGATACGCATGGGCATGTAGAGGAGGTGTGAGTTATCAATGCAGGGCATGCATGGGAAGAGTGAGTGATAATAATTACATCACTGGCTGGGCATGCGCAGTAGGCGCGAACTATGCATAGAGCGTGCAGAGGCGGAGAAACCACCAGGCAGGACAAGGGTAAGCCATGGGGGCACTGGGCAGGGGGTGTGATGTGTGGCGGTGGAAGCACACTGTGGTGTCCACATTCAACAGCCGCGGGTATTCAGAGGATGTGGCGGTGATAGTGGAAGCACGCGGTGGCTATGTCACGGCAGAGTAGGTGGAGAGGTAGAACTTGTTTTGGTGTCTGCACTTTGATACCAACTCCGACCTCTTGTTGAGCAGAGTGTGAGGCGTCTTGAAGGTGATGATGCGCAACTTTTCTGCTAAACACAAGCAGCACCTTTTGGATTTGTTGCTGTAGGACTTGGCCCGATCTATGACTGCCCATTTGATACTGTATCCCTCACCTTGGTCAACCAGCGCCCATGTGTGCTTGGATAGCTCGGTCTTGGTATGGTACTGTTCATGCCGCATGCTGGTTAGATGGTTGCCATAGCGCACCTTGAAGGGCGTCTCGCACAGGCCGATGTATTGCCTTTCCTCCCCAGTACTTGGAGTTGTGACGGAGGCCTGGTACACCACTTCCCCCTCCAAGCATCCGCCGCCCAAAGGGCATGATGGCTTGGCTCGCCAGTTGCACCCTGCCGCAGATCTCTCTTCACCAGGCGTTAGTACCTTTTGGTTATGTCCCTTCGTCAGGTAGGACATGTTGGGCATGCAGGAGTAGCTCAACTTCAATGTGTTTCTGTTGAAGATCTTGTGCAGTGGCGACGCGGCAGGGAAATGTTTGCTGACTAGTTTGAAAAACCTCTGACCGATGTTGGTGGATACAGATTTGCTGTATGGTGGGTTGTACCATGTTTTTCTCCTCCGCTTGCTCTTCTTCTTGGTAGGCCCACCGCCGTTGAACACCATGGCCCCTGGAAATCCGCTGGCAGATAGCGCAGCTCTGTATGCAGGTGCCGCGTTGGTGAATGCCTCCTCGTCGCACGAGATGTCGGACACCCGCCTGTTGATCATTGCAGGTAGATTCCGGAGTATATTGGGCGGGTGATTCGACTTGGTGTGTATGTATCTGGGTACGTCATTCGGTTTGCGGTATGGGTGGTAGCTGCCGCTGGCTAGATCAAAGGTGACGTCCAGGAAGTCCACTCTCCTCTGGTTGGTACTGGTGGTTATTCGTAGGCCAACGTCTTTGAATAGCTTCGTGATTGCCTTGCGGATGGAGTCTGCCTCGTGTCCTGTAGTAGTCCTGAGCACGGCCAGTCCGTCGTCGCGGTACAGGCCGACACTAGCCGGATCATACATATCCGCGAGTCGTTTGATCAGGAACGCTCCCACTAGTTGGCACACCTCTGCCCCATCAGAACTTCCCATCGTCAAATCGAATAGGAATGTGACGATGGGTGATTTTTAAGTTAAGTATTTTTGCACGCACGGGGGGTGGTTGACGTTTTTGGTGCTCCTGGGAACAGCTTTCCGGGAGCCCCCCCCCCCGCACTAATTTTACCCTTCTACCTTACTCCAAAACTGCTTTTCCTTGCTGATACTTGCTGAGTACCCTTTTCGCTTGCTTATACTCAGACTTCTTAACTTACCTCTTCACATTAATCTTTTTTGATCTTAATTAAAGGGGAAGTGCATCGATTTTTCGAGTAGGGTCCGGAAGAAAGACAATTTGATATCGGTTCGAATGGCATATCTCTCGCTTCCATACGATAAGCCAAACTTGCCAAATCGCCAATTGTATGCTCACGTTGCCATAGCGACCAGCGGAGTGATGACGTACGAAAGGCTTAGCTCCTCCACAGGAGAAGGTTGATCACTGCATAAATTGGTCATTTTCAATTATCTTATTGTATTCACGATGTGAAAGAAGTGCTGTGTTCAATGCTGTTAGTGCCGTGAACTAATTGTCGCCCTTCTCATGCATTTCCCTAGGCTGACTGTGCCTAGGAAATGGTTCCCTCCAGGACAAGATGCTTGGAATTCGCCGTCTCTCCTGAGACATTTTCAGCAAACTTTCAAACCTACCGCATTATTTCATTCGTCAATCTCCACCACCCGTCGTCTCACCTGGCTTCAGAAGATGTTACGAGAGATAGGAGAGTCGCCAGGAAGCATCACATTCACCCGTTCAGGAAGTGGAAAGAGCAAACGGCATGGTCCTTGGTTGGGGAAAATGCTGAACGTCTGATTTGTCCCAATCAAGATTTCAGCATTTTGTTCGTCACTATTTTCGCTTGTCTGCTGGTGTCTCCGCGCTCCGGCTTTCTCCTGTCGGTGTCACGTCCCAGTACACAACCGAGAGGACTACTAACAAACAGTTCACTGCACTTACAGCATTAAACACAGCCCTTCTTTCACTTCGTGAATACAATAAACCAATTGAAAATGACCAAATTCTGCAGTGATCGACCTTCTCTGTGGTGGAGCTAAGCCTTTCGTACGTCATCACTGCGCTGGTCGCTATGGCAACGTGAGTATACAATTGGCGATTTGGCAAGTTTGGCTTATCGTATGGAAGCGAGAGATATGCCATTCGAACCGATATCAAATTGTCTTTCTTCTGGACCATACTCGAAAAATCGATGCACTTCCCCTTTAATATTTTAATATAGCTGTGAATAGGATGAAGGCCGCAGACATCACGCAACTACGTTACTTGTTTGTTTGATTATTATCTCCTCGTAGATTATCTTAATATTTTCTTCCTTTTAAATGATTGTACCCTATTGTACACGTATTGTTCACGTATATTTATTCTCGGAGACCCCCTTGATTTAGGGCGCGTTTGGTTGGTACGATCTAGAACAAGATTCACCAGAACAGCGCGTTTGGTTGGTACTGCACCTGTTCTGGGTCGGCCAGAACATGTTCTGCTTGCTCCGGCCTCGAGGCCGGAGCAGACCGAGCAGTTTCACTTTTTCACAGTGAAACCTGGCGGGAACATCGATTTTGTCCAAATAAGGATCACGTGCGTACGGCTTTGTGTTGTAGTTGGCGCGAGTTGTGTACCATGGTGTACCGTATACTCAATAGTAGCGCTCTTTCAGATCGTGGACTCTACTGCCGTAAAGGGAAAAGAAGCACAGGTGAGGCTTCTTCGCGGACGAAAGAAATAACGTAGATCGCGCTCCCCGCTGTGTCTGGACATAATAATAATACTTTCTTGTTTTGTTGAAGTAGTCATTTCTCTGCGAAGTTTCCTTCTGCTTTGGTCCAAACTTGTTTCTACTCGTGGAGCGCTTATGATTTCCGTTGAACAATGGCTGACCCCCTGTCTTTGAGTGCCGATCACAGCGAAAAGAGCGACGGTGGCAGCGACAAGGTCGAGATCATAGAGAAAAAGGCAGGCTTTGTGTGGTCCACGTTGTTGACGCTCGACCTCATTCAATCAAGAAGTAAGCGCGACCCACTCTTCAGCGACATAAATTATAAAAAGAAATCCATCTGGCAGCAAATCGCGTCGGACATAGAAGAAAATAACCCCGAACTCGATCAATCCTATCCAACGGCGGAGCAGTGCGAGAACAGGTGGAAAAGCCTGCTCCGTGGTTACAAGGCATTTGTCGATTCGCAAAACCAAACCGGAGCTGACAGGAAGAAGGAGCCTGCATTCTACAGTGAAATGAATGCGGTCCTGGGAGAGAAGCCCAACGTCCGGCCACAGTGTGTTGCCGGATCTTTGCCAGCAGCTGCCCAACCTATAAAACGGGCTGCTAATGCAGCGATTGACGATGGCGATGCAGCGCAAGATGATGGTGGAGAACAAGAAGCAGTTACCACTGCAGTACCGACGAAGAAACGCCGACGATCCTCGACCAACAAGCCACAACAGTCTGAGGCGTTTCAATGGCTCAAGGCAGAGCGCGCCGAGGAGAAGGCAACGGCTGCCAAGCAGCATACAGATCAAATATCTGTTCTGAACAGACTTGCTAGTGCTGTCGAGAAATTCAGCAGCATTTAATGCTGTTGTTGTTGTTGTTGTTGTTGTTGTTGTTGTTGTTGTTGTTGTTGTTGTTGTTGTTGTTGTTGTTGTTGTTGTTGTTGTTGTTGTTGTTGTTGTTGTTGTTGTTGTTGTTCTTGTTCTTGTTCTTGTTGTTTTAAGTGGCGTTGTGGCTTTTACAGCTGTTCATGCGCTTTTAATTGTGCGTGTGTTGCCATTGGATTGAAGCGTGACTTGAATATGTGGTGTTCTTGCCGTGATAAATTTCTTCAGTGTTTATATGGACAGTACCTCCCTTGATTTTTTTGTTTTCATACTTTTTGTAATTACTCCTGTCAGTCGGCAAGATCTTCCCAGCATAGGGGCACCCGCACATCTTCTTTGGTTGTCTCAGACGTTACCAATCACATCCCTTTATTGGATTTCCTGTCTTCTAATTAATGGGCTTGTAGCCCGTTTGCACTTGGGAAATCAAATGAACAATACAATACGTTCTTGCCATTACTGCTTGCTAGCCTAGTTCAACCGTTAGTTGAGGGAGGGAGAGAGAGAGAGAAGGAGAGAGAGAGAGAGAGATAGGGAGAGAGAAAGAAAGAGAGAGAGAGAGAGAGAGAGAGAGAGAGAGAGAAAGAGAGAGAGAGCGAGCGACAGAAAGCGACAGAGAGCGAGATAGATAGACGGATGGATAGATAGATAGATAAATAGATAGATGCATGGATAGATGGATAGATAGATATATAGGTAGATAGAGATAGAGAAAGAGAGAGAGAGAGAGAGAGAGAGAGAGAGAGAGAGAGAGAAAGAGAGAGAGACTTGATAATGGTAATTCTGCCTCAACCCATGAAGACTGGTTGGTACAATATCAGTCACATCAAGTAGTCTGCAATTCGCTGGCGCTTGTCCATACCAGATGCATCCTGTGGCAGGAACAACGGCATGTTGTTCATTGGCTCTTCTGGAAGGTTATCCAGGAAGTCGGCGACATCATCTCCATCCATAATTGCCATATTGTGGAGAACGCATGCGGCTATGGTTATGTGGGTTGCATTCTCCACGTTGGTGACGTTGACGCCTTGGAGCTGCCGCCATCTTCCTTTCAGCAGAGCGAAAGCCTTTTCAATCACCATACGGGAAGATGAATGATTGAAATTGAAATTCCGTTGTTACCGGCATCACGATATGGGGTGATCAGCCATGGCAGAAGAGGGTATGCGGAGTCCCCAAGGATGAAACTCTCCATGGGGAAGAACTCCTCCTTGCGCTCATCCACGGCATGTTTGAGCGGGCTGTTGTTGAACACTCTGGCATCGTGAACCGAACCAGGCCAACCAGCAAACACATCTGTGAATAGCAAATTGGCGTCACAGACAGCTTGCAGCACAATAGAGTGGAATCTCTTCCGATTCAGGTATGCATCAGTCGATTCCATAGGGGCTTTGATGGGTATATGACTCCCGTCAATGGCACCAATGATTCCATGGATTCCCTTCAGTTGGTGGAACCGCCCTTGTGTGTCGTTGACACCTTTCTCTTTCGGCCAGCAGATCATCAGAGGGGCAATGTCGCAGAGAGCGAAACATACCCGTCGCGTTGATGTCCAGATGGTGTACTTGGACAGACCGAACTTGTCACTAACTTCCCTTATACAGCTCTTGGAGCCCAGCCACCAAAGGGTAAGAAGAACCTGCTTCTTCACGTCAATCATGTCCTTTCCACTGGCTGTAACGTCCACTTGCATGTGTTCTGACGCACGTATCGCATCAACGACAATGTCGACAGTTTGCCGACAGAGGCGGAAGTGGCTGCGGAAATCCATGTCGCTCTGGAGGGGAATAACGTGCTCGAAGTATCCCACCTGTCGCGGTACGCTAGTGCGGCGGGGTAAAGGGATATCGAACACTGCCGCACAGTCAGGATCACCGCAAACTGCGAGGTAAATCATCTCCTCCAACGACCGAGTTGAGGAGGACCCGCTGGCATTGACGGGCTTGGCGACAAGGGCGACAGCGGCAGCTACTATTGCAGCGACAGCCCTGCACTTTCTATGACGTTCGTGATCATCGTGATCATCCATTGCAAATGAAGCAACAACGTTCCACAAATGGAGAGAACAATCAAATAAGGAAAACAGGAAACAGTTCCTGAAATGCCAAAAAAAGCACATCATCACATGGAAAGGCTCCCTTTTTTGTGTCGACCAAACCTGTCCTGTGAACATGACGTACTCCGCCAGCAGTAATAGTACGCTGTACACATCGTGCAACAGTGCACTGTACGTGCGTGCACTTTGACAGGAGCGACTTTTGTTTGGCGCCCTTTTCCAAAAAAGTACTCTGTTTCTGGAGTACCGTTTGGTTGGCACCAGGTTGCTCCATCTGCACCGACTGCTCGATCCTGTTCTGGTTCGTACCAACCAAACGCACCCTTAGGCTTCGGCCTTTGGGGAATCCCTCAAATACTACTAATAATAATAATAATAATTTGAAACTCGGATGTTGAGCCATAAATAAATGTAGAAAGGAAAAGTTACTCTTAATTTATATCCATATGTCCTCTTCCTTTCTACAATAATAATAATAATAATAACAATTTTGGGTCGCAAGAATCCACGCAAACACACATCCAGTCACAATAAGGCACTTGTCAAAAGTATCCGAACATTTTCGGTCCCTTCTCATCAAGGATTACACAGGGAATGGCTCAAGTTGGAAAGACTAAAACTTATGTAGTGTAAAGATAATGAGATAACAATACCCGTGACAAGGTGGAAAATTATCAAGTTCAGCACGACACAAAACTCGAAGGAAAATAGTAATAGTGACAACAACATAAACAATCGACGAGGAGACAATAGTCGTAAAATGGCAATAAATAAGATAAACTGTGCACTCATAACAACAGCAATTGCTGTTGTTATGAGCGCACAGTTTATCTTATTTATTGACAACAACATAGTGAGCAAATTAAGTTACATTGTTAACACCTCGACGAGGAGTAACACCAAACAATTGTAGCGACAACACATTTTCTTTCTGTACGCAAAGTTCAGGAGACGGGAACGCGGAAACGCAAACGCGGAAACGCGAAGAGACGGAAAGTGATGATGCCACGAAGAGGCGAGATGACGGGACATTGGAGGAGACATCACCCAACGGAGCTAAGAATCGCACTTCGTCAATCAAGCAACATCTGTCAGCCCGTACCAATTGTCGTGAATTAGACAGTGATAATGTTTTCTCAATATTGTCACGTGGTAGATGTGCGCTGCATTTGGCTGTGTTAGAAGCTTTGTATATCCGTAAGTTAGATCCTGAACTTTGCGTACAGAAAGAAAATGTGTTGTCGCTACAATTGTTTGGCTTGAAAGCAGGGGAGGTAAAACATACTTTGCTGCCCACTTTATCCCCGTGTTCACCACGGTATGTGCGTTCATGGTGAGGAAGATGTCCTACCTCCCCAGCTTTCAAGTCATTTGGTTTATCTCTTTGAGTGCCGGAATTGTGTAGTGTAGGACTCTTCACCACCTGAACGCACGTATCAGACAACATGTGCCGTTGCACTTATTACCACCAGCAGGCAGAGCAAAGCGGCCAAAGCGTGATAGGCCGTGCAAGAACCCAGTTAGCTCAGTAGACAAACACGCTGTGCCGACAGCGCCGCCTGTTCCTGTGCCACCACCGGCCCCACCACCTGCGGTGCCGTGGGTGGCTGGAGCTGGGTTGGGTTTGCGCTCAGTGATCTGGCCACCACTTCTTGTGTGGGTGTTTAGTAGGAGAGAACCCAGCAACGGTGACGCGGAGCAGCGGTCAAACGACTTGTGATGCTGGTGGAGATGATGGAGCCATGTTGGAGGCTGATAAGGAGTGCAGTGAGACTGAGCATCAGACGGATGATGAGGAAGTGACTGATGATGATGATGATGGTGGTGATGAGGACGATGATGATGAAGATGAGGACGATGATGATGAAGATGAGACGAGGGACGAGGATGAGGCAGGGCCTGCTCTAGACATTCCACACAGCCCGGTCAGAGTGTACCTGGTGCATGCAGGCCAGCCGGGTCAGATCATCCGGCAGAAAAACAACCAAAAAGCCTGCTCAAAACGCAGGAAAACAGAAAGGCAAATTTATTACCGGAAATCGTTTAGAGAACAACAAGGCGAACTATCAAAGTCTGCAAATGTAGAAGGTAAACGACATTACGTGAAGAATGCAAAGCAGTTCCATTGGATTCTGATTTAACAATTTGAAAAATTGGAATTCTGTTTTCTAATTAGTGCTAGTAGTAGGACGAACATGTTCACATAATAGAGCACTAGGGGGTGCCTGCAGCACCCAGGAACCGAGCAACATGCCGATAATTCGAAGCAATGAGTTCTTACCTTTCAACCACGCATCGCGAGCAAATCCACCGCCGCTCGTGTTCCCGGAACACGAGCGGCGGTGGATTTCCAAAGTTCTTTTTCTTTTTTCTTTTTAATTTCGGCCAGTCGATGCGTCTTGCACAAAGCACATGACATGGATAGACTGGCATGCTCGTAGTCCAGCCATGGTCGACCTTTCTTCCAAGAGTCTTGGAAAGCGTGAGTTCTTTTTCTGTTCGTTGCGAGCTCCATCGTCCAAATCACCAGTCGGATGAAAACTTGCAACTGTGTCAAAAGCTATAGCCAAAGTTACGCTTTTGACTGCATGACTGCCCCATCGACTTTGAATGTCCTGACTTCCTGCTTGCCGCTGGCCAGATCGCGCTGGAACCAGTTGACCCCAGTTGACCCTAGCCGAGTCTGTCGCTTGTAGACTGTAGTGTGTACGGTTGCGCTACAGATGGGGTCCGCGAGTCGGAAAATACCGGTATTTTAGGAATCCATTGTCAGTTTGAGACATTTTTCAGCCGGGTCAGACTGGACCCGTTTTTATCTATTCAGCCAGGTCGTGCAGTTCCCCAGCCGGGCGCGTGACCCGGCTGACCCGGCTCTCCAGCAGGCCCTGTGAGACGGAGGAGGTTGAAGGTAGGCCTTGACGGATTATGCTAATATTTTCGTGAAATTATGCTTTTCGCATTGCTGAAAAAATTGCAGAATTATGCTATTTTTATGCTAAAAGTTACCATATTATGCCGCATTATGCTCACATATGCTGCTAATGCATAATGGTTCTGTGCAAAATAACAGGGGAATTTTTTTGTAGAGGGCGTTGTACTGTAGTAGCAAAAGTTCAACGGGGTCAACGCACCGTCCGACCTAGCTACGACCATCACTGATTGTAGTGGACTGGACATGTTATCAAGGGAGTCGTAAACCTACAACTTCCTAGTGCATCTACTTGTACTTGTACTTGTAGAACATGTACAACTGTATGGAATTTGATGCGAACAGGCGGATTATTACAATTTTATGCGATTCGTATGCAATTTGCCTCGAATTATGCGATTATTCGATTTTGGTAGGAATTATGCGAAATATTATGCTAGCATAATCCGTCAAGGCCTAGTTGAAGGAAAGGAGCGGGATGAGACGGGAAAGAGCGACGTGAGCAAAAAGTCAGCTGTATTTTGTCACTTGTTATCACGTCTTGATTGTCTTAGCGTGTAGGATGATTCTCACTTTTCTGTTTTGTGCTGTGCAAGTTATGTTAAGCAGTTGAAGGTTCTGGAAGCTGTATGTATTCGTGTGCATAATCCTGTTCTTTGTAAACAAAGAAGCATGTAGTAGCGCTAAAGTTGTTCTAGTAGCTGGTTATCAAATGTAAATTTCGTGTCATGTTGCACTGTATCACCTCATGCTTTGTGCCTGCACTCAGTTATATAATTATGTTAGCACTATGTTTGACACCTATTATGTAATGCTGTAGCACTTTTTTGATCACACTTTTTATGCTGTTATAAAATGTTCTATTTTTGTACACAGTACCCTCAGTTCCGATACTATTCACTGATGAGCGGAACACCAAAATCGATTTTGAATAACATAAAAAATCCTTTAAAATTCCATGAACTCGTTGTTGTCTGGCCATGTCTGCATCTATTATACTCTTTATTGCACTAATAAAATTGCTTTCTCCACGCCGACTCTTTAAATAATAATAATAAAGGGTTTGCTCCCCGCACTGGAGCTCGCGGTATTCCGCCGACTACTTCGTAATAATAATAACCACCAGCTTCGACCACCAGCTTAAGGCATTGGTCAAAAGTGATCGGTATCGCCTCTATTGGGAGTATTCGGTCCCAACTGACCTGAAACTATCAGCAAACAGGCCCGATCTGCTCCTTTTTGATGACAAGGAGCGCATTGCCTACATTATAGACATCAGCGTTCTTGGTGAGAACAACATCAATAAGAAAATGGCTGAAAAGCGCTCGAAATATTATTACTTGAAGCGGGAGATTTCCAGGATTTGGTCCCTCACCCAGGTTGACGTGGTCCCTGTGGTTGTCGGTGCCCTGGGAGGCTTGGTGGGAGAGACTCCTCAATGCCTTCGGACTGTGCAGGGAGGAGACCTGGCTATTGTGCAACAGGAGGCTATCCAAGGTTCGATTAAAATACTAAGAACTATCCTTAACATGTAGATGCACCTCCGCTGCGTTTGCATGTTCAATAGCTAAGAGACTTGAATATCGACTGATAAAGATATTTCCTTTGTTACTCCCTTCATTGGTTGATGTACTTTGCCTGTCGCTGCAAATTCTTTATTATTGTTTTGATGTTGGAGTTCGGATTGAGTTTCTTTCCTTTCTTCCTCTTCCTTCCCCTATTTCTTGTCCCTTTGGTTTTTAGCTTTTTTATTTTTTCATTTTCTTTTTGCTATCCCACCCTTGGAAATATTTCCCGGTGGGTCTGGCTTATCGCCTTCGAAAGAAGTGAATAAAGAAGACATAATACAATTTCAAATTTGGACTTCACGGAGAATTTCAAAGTTTTAGGAAATTAGAGGCCACATGCCACGAGTTGCCAGTATGATGCAAGCCAGATATGGATTGATCGAAGTAGAATAGATTTACCATCACTGTGGATCAGAGTCATACTGTAGCTCAGTTCGTTAGAGCATTGCTCGCGAATAGCAAGGTCCCTGGTTCGA